CTAATCAAACCCATAAGTTGTTTTTTAAAACATGCATTGTTAGCATCCTAATTATCTCATTTGTGTTTGTTTAGTTAGATAAACAGATGAAACATTTCTGATCCAGATGTGACAATCTCAGCGCTGTCATTTACCTTTCAAGGATCATAGAATTTTTGCTTTTAACACGTTCCCTGGAGTACCTACATGTTTTCATTATAAACCAGTAGTTGATAAAACATGTCAGATGCTAAATTCAAAACCCACCATGGAGGAAACACGGGGGAATGTAACAACTGTTTTGGAAGAAAATGTCTTGAAGTCAACTTACATAAAATCTTAAATGGTTTGCCAATGAATTATAATTAACATTTGCGTTACAACTGCAAAAGCTAAACAATTTTTGCTTAACTGCTATAGGACTGAAATTATTTTTGTCAAATATGCGTAAAATCTTAAGCTAAATGTCTATGTTCTATAATATAAAATTTTAGTGATACAAATGTAGAATTTGCAATGCCAATTTAAGTTATGGAATGAAATAGTTTAAAGTCTAGAGCACTTAAACCCTTTTAATACTCAACACATTATATGAATTTTGATAAAGAATATGCAGCACTCAAGGTAATAATTTCTTATATGAATATTCAATAACTTGTATGTCCAAGTAGACTGAAAACTTCAAAATTTTTCTAGAGATTCACATTCACTAGAGTAAAGGAAATTGAAGTTTTAGAACACTTGTGTAAAAGTTAAAATAACTCAAATTATTTTCTCAGTAAACGTTTCCTCATCTTCATCAATAATTGTTCTAAAATATGAAGAAATTCTTTATATAACACAAACAATATAATCAATGAAAGGCTGTATGCAAAGATAGATAATGCAACACAACTGAGCTTATAATGCATGACACTTAAAGTATTTAATCATAGTTCTTATATGACTACACACAATAATTTATTTCTACTTAATAAAATAGTAAAAATGTCATTTTATACTTTTTTAAATGTATATTTGCAAATATTTTCTCTCACAGAATTGTTCAACTAAATATGCACTTTCAATCAAAGAACTAATGTATTTGCAGATGTTCATTTTTCTATATTTATTTAATAAAGGCTGAAGTTGGTTAGGCTAGTATGGAAACAAAAATTATGATGTTATTTTGAACTCTATAACCTCTTTTCATTTGCAAACAGGTAATTATACGAAAAATTGTAGAATGCACTAAAAAGCAAATGGAAAACAACAAATATTTCATGTAAGAATTATTAATTAGTGTTATAACCACTAAAAACAGAAGTATGTGCATGAATATATAATCATCTAAAGAATGTCAGTCTTCACTTCACTTAATTACTAAAATGGTCATTTAAGAATGTATCTTAATGAATATCACAAATATATCTTTTGATTAAACATGAATAACAGGGGATAGTTTGATTTCTAATGAAAATATCAAAATATAAGACCAATTACATATATACATGTTAATTATGAGAAAATAATTAAAATATTTATGCCTTCCAAAATAGTATCAATATAATTAAAAATACTCTCAGTGGAAATTAAATCATTAATATACACAGCCAATCTTTAACAGGTCACTGGTATTACTAAAGTTGAGTATTGAGGGCTAGTTGCTATCATTTGTGGTTTTTTGGGTAAAGTGTAAAAGAAGCAGGAAGTTTGAATCTATTTCCTTAGCCACGAGAAATAAATTACCATCAAGAAAACATTAAAAGTCTGACTTTGGGAGAGTGCCTGGGAATCCATGTGCTAAATCAGTTTTAATATAAGGAACTCTCTCATCAGTAAAGTGGAACTTCAGAAAAAGTCATATTTTGGAGTATCATAGCAAAGCTTGCACTGTGCGTAAAGTTTACCATCACAGCCATTCCGCATAGAACAAAAATTCTTAAATATAAGATTGTCAATCTGCTGTTTTTTGAGTATTGTAGTCACTTAGAAATAGCAGTTAACAATGAAAAAAACCTCTTAAAAGCATTGGCTTTTATACTTTATTCTAACAAAACAATTCGCTATTTACTTATTTTACAGTTAATCTCCACGCTAAATCTGAAAGTATGCTCTCAATAACAACTATAATAAAAGAATGTTGAGATAATGACACAAGATGGTAAAAGCAAGGAAAATGCTCATTTCAGGATACACAAGCTTTAAGTAGAAATGAAGTAGGATAAACGGTCCATAAAAAGTTACCCAGAGAATTCCTATAGAACCAAAACTTATCAAAAGGTGGTACAAAGCCTTCCTAGGCTCCAATCCCTGTGGACAAAGGCTTTCCAATATGAGATACACAGCTCTATAAAATTACATGCAAATAAATTTTGTAGGCAAGAGTTCCTCACCACCTTTAATTAATGAAAATTGAGAGATGGATCATAAGACTTAGTTTTGTTGGTGGAAGTGTTTGGTTAGTTGGTACGGCAGAGAATGCTATGTGTTCAGCAAATCCATTTATTTATCCTCCTAAACACACAAGAAAATTACATTTGCAAACCTCACCTGCAATTAGATTTGGCCATGTGACTGACTTCAGGACAATGGAATAAGGTATTATCTTTCAAGATCCTCAACAAACTTTCTTCCCTTTCTACGCCATGCAGGGTATTCAGTGGAGAACTTCAAGGCTCTATAAGATAGCAGAGCCACTCCTGAGTCTCTGAATGACTGAATGGAACTGAATGGGACAAAGACCCATCTCCGCTGTCTACCTGATTCACACTGGAATGTAATATAAAGGAGTAATAAATCCTGATGGTATTAAGCCACTGAGTCTCAGAAAGCGCTAGAAAGCTATTTATTCATTAATTTATATATTCCTCAAGTATTATGAATAATAAATAATTATCGGGATAAAAATAAAATTTGGTACTTCAGAGAAAGGCAAAGGAGGTAATTAGAGTGGATCTAAATCTTAACATAGGAATAGTTTTTAGAAACTATGATCGCAAGTATTCTGCAATTGCTCCCTGTCGAAGTCTTACTTCTCCAATCATATGCTGAATTCATGTCATCTTATATTATTACTATATAATATTATTATATAATATAATGTAATATTATTACTATTATTAGTCATAAATGCTTAACGCATTAGCTACCATTCATTTCTTAACATACTCTGGGCACAGTGCTAAGCACTTTATGTGACTTTCTCATTTAACTTCGAAGTGACCCTATGAGGGAGTTTTGACAATATACTCTTTTTATGGAGGAAACTGATGTCCATAAAAGTTCAGATGATCTCACACTAATAAGTGGTGAATCCAGAACTCAAAAGGTCTTTTTGACTCCATGGCCATCCTATTAATATTCAATATTACATTGAGGGCAATAGTTGGTCCCAACCAATTATCATTTGAGCAATACTAGTTTACTTCAATTATTTTCCTACCCACAAACAGAATCGTATAATTGTATGCTCATTTTCTGTGTCACAGGAAAGGCTGACAGGAAGGGCTGACCCTAGCAAATATACTATAATCCCAGATCTGCCCCTCATAGAGGAAACCTTACACTCTGACTTTATCAACATGCCAAAAATTGAAGCATCTATCAAAGGTAGATGCATAGTAATCACTAATGTTTTGACCCAGAAATCAAATTATTCTTTATGATGAATAATTTAAATGAAACAAACTTTATTGAAGTCCTGGAATATAATAATTACTCACCCAAAGGTAACTACTATTATAAATGATATGTTTGAAGTTCATGTGATTAGTATAATGACATTTTGGTCAATGACAGACTGCATATATGATGGTGGTCCCATAAGATTAGTACCATATAGCCTAGATCTGTAGTAGTCTATACCACCAAGGCTTGTATAAGTACACTCTATCATGTTCCCACAAGGATGAAATCACTTAACAATGCATCTCTCAGAAGTATCCTTGTCCTTAAGCAATCCATGACTGTATATTCTAGGAGCATAGATACTTTGGGGGGGGGCAATAATAACCTGAATATTGCTTGAAAAACATGGATTCAGAATGAAGATATTTCATGGATAGGATGTTTAATAGCATCAAGTTTAAATAGCTTGATATTAATTCACAATAGAAATGGCGTTGTCATTGGGACTGAAGTCCAACGGAATTAAGTCCACTGGCTCGTCTCTGAACCATATTTGGATAGGCTTTGCCTACATTGCTTTTGACTTTCCTTTATCTGTCTTCATGGCTAAAACTCTTTCTGTGGATAGGTCAATGCTTTCCATTAGTTTATGTCAACCCTTGCTGCACAAGAATGTATCTGTTCTTTTAAGATAACTTTGCACATCCTTGTGCTGATCTACTTTGTGTTGATCTTGAAATGTAACAATCCAAAAGCAATCTCATCTTGCATCCTTTATTTTAAATTTCTTTCCAATACCTCTCTCATTACAATCTATAAGAACAAAGAACAACGACAAGAATTGAAAGAATTAATTCCAGGATAAGATCATGCTCAACAAACTATCCTGCATGATTATGAGAAATGAGGGAGGAAAAATAATAGCAGCTGTTCTCCTTTTCTTTTACTTAGGGCAGAAGCACTATATCCATGGGATTCAGTTAATCATCTTAGCCCACATCTTGATTGCTGGGGTAAAGATCTTGAGAAAAAACTCCTCCTACCAGAGGCACCATGTTTCTCTTTATGATAGTACTAAACCCCATACTAAGCTACAACTGTTGCTCTGGAAGGAGGTGTGGCCCAGAATAAATCAGAGGTGGCATACAATGTCAGGGAAAGATGGTGCTATGCTAGTTGCACCCCATCAATGAAAAACTAAGCTTATTCAAGCTTTATGCTGCCACAGTACCGTGCACTGCAAGAGCAAAGTCTAGTGCCACAGCCCTAGTGTTCCTTTTTCCAACTAGGCAAATGCTAGGAGGAGCACTTTCCCACAAACAAGTGTGTGGGAGATGGCAAATGCAATAATAAGGCTAATTAACCCACCAGGGTGCTTCAAGACTGGAATGATTCAGTCACACAGAAACAAATGATTTTTATTCCTTTATTATTATTTCTTCTTTATCTGTGGAGCCAGAGAACGGGAAGAGGACCAAGAATTCAGATATGGGTCAGATCTGGATGAACTTAGGAACCTAAGTAGTAGTTTAGAGTCTGGAGGATACTGTGGAGAGTAGTAGTCCAAAAACAAAAACAAAAAAGAATGCTGAAGCAACTTTCTCTGGAGATGCATCATGCACACTCAGGGAGTTCCAAGACACCTTTCTGCCTGGATCCAGCTACTTTTCTTCAAGTTGGGGAACTCATATTTGGCAACCTCTGAGTGCTAACAGCCACACGGATGAGTAGATATCCTTTGATGCAAAGTAGACGATTACACCATCAACCTTCATCGTACTGACCAATGAGAAACCTCTGAAAATAAGGACATGAAAAGGACAAAAAAATAGATCATCAGTACAGAAAAGGCAAACTTAAGAAAACTTCATAATAAGAGAGACATAGACAAAGACAAAAATTGTTATAAAAGAAAAAATTTTAAACTATACTAATACTGTATTTGTAATTTTAAAAATTCTTGTGGTGTTATAGTGTGTTAAGTTTACCAAACTTTATTTTTACTAGAACTAACTTAATCAATAATAAAATGAGGGAAATTCCATTAAAGTAAGCATTGTCTATGGTGTCATTGTAAAACTGTTGTAAGATCTGACTGCTCAAGCTATTTCAGTAAAGCAAAAGAGAACACGTGAAAACTTGTGTGTAATTGAGTATATGCAAAGTGACCCTCCCCAAAAATGATGAGTAAAGAAATTAAAAGAATTAAAAGAAAAAAATGCCAAAAGAGTGATTTTTGAAAACTAAATTATTGCAGATCCTAAAAATCTAATTATCTTACTCTATTCAATTCTTGGCAACTGTAAAAGATAAGACACAGCACACCAAACTCACAGCTATCATTGTTTCACTTGATTCTGCTTAATAACATTTTCATATAGTCCACAACAAGCTGAACCATATTAATGGAGAGAAATTAGAAGAAACATAAAATTCTAAAGGAAAAAAATATACAGTCTAAAGAAAAAACTAAAGAAATACCTATAAAATGCCCAAAATAGGAGATAGTTACGATCTGGCAGAAATAATAAATGGAAAAAAAATGAAAGCTTTATTACATCTCCACTAATATTGAATAATAGTTTACAGTACTTGTCCAAAAACTGTTTTTTCGGACAATGACTTTTGGTTTATGGTTCTTTCCAAACACTATAGCTTAATAATATGTGCATAATAAATAAATAATGGACTATTAAATTTTCCTAAGACTCTTAAAAGATTACTTTCAATAAAGAATCTCAAACTCCATTATAATAATGGAGGAGGTTTCCATTTTTGAGAAGTCTCACGCGTAGTTATATGTGAGGGGCAGAGTTTGACTTTCAAGTCCTACAAAGTCATTATCATGAGGCTCTATGTTAGTCATGTAACTGCAAATTCAATCCAGATTTTTTTTCTAAAAATGGGAACTCACAAAGAATGAAGTACTAGCCATACTTACAATCTTTTCTTTAAACTTATGGGAAATATGGTGCCTATAATTCATTATTTGAGTGGGGCACTTGGTTTGTCTTGTCTACAACAATTAAATGGAGTAATACACCAAAATGAAGGCCCATTCAAGCTTTTAAATTTTTCAATCAGGAAAAGAAAGTACTCAGATCCTGTGAATTACCTGTCCTATTTTATAGGTGACACCTGTATTGCCGCCACACATCTGTGGAAGCACAATATCAGCCAACTGTTAATCAAGGTTCACTTCCCTTCAAAGTGACTGATGATCCACTGTTAAAACAGCTTATAAAAATAACTTCTCCTTCGAAAGGTGCTTCAGGGTTTTCAGACACATCTCACCATTCCTGCTAGCTTAATGCATGTTTGAAAGTTAATTTCTCATTAATATTTAAAGAAGAAATGGCTTCAGAACAAATTTTAAATGATCTATTACACTTTAGAAATAAAATATTATTGGCATTATTTTCATCTCCATTACAAGGAATAATAATGTCCAAGATTGGCTTTTAAAACTGTTAATGAGCCCTGGCAATGTGAAAAAGATATGGATTAGGTAGATGTAATGAGATATGATTAAAGGGTGCAGGCACTGAAGGGTGTTGGAGAAATTCTTTTCAGAAAGAGTATAATTAGTGTCTGATAAAAGTACTTAGTAGATAAGATTTTTGAAGAAGAAAGGTTAAGGTAAACACATACTGTATGACAAACCTGCTTAATCTTTCCCCTTTGGTTCTCTTACATACTCAATATTATGCTGAAGTTTCATACATAAATAATGTTTGTCAAATACTTGATGCAATTCTACCAGACAATTACAGTGTTTTAATTGCCAGACATGGAGAGCAGAAAATGTGTTGAAACATCTTATTCCATTTTCAGTGTACATTTCTTTGTTGATTTATGTAATGTAGCTAATAATATGCAACCTACCCTAGTTTTAAACAAACAAATGAACTTCTAAAAAGCAAGCTTTCCATAAGTTGCTAAGCAACTCCAAAGGCACATTTTATTAATTTAATAAATAACATTTAGATGACAAATCCTTAAAGAAGATCTCTAACTCCATTTTATAAAAAGCAGAAAATCCAAGCAGCTACACTTCTGATTTTCCTGTTTCTAAGGTCTCAGGGTTAAACAGACACTGCCGTTTTCAGAGGTACATTTGACTCACTAAACAAATAAAACATTTCTTCAGTTTAAATTGTTACTATTATAGAAGTTAAGTTCTTGGACTTATTGTGTAGCTCTCTAGAGTTAGAGCTCATGTTTCATTCCCATAACTGAAGGTTTATCAGTCTTGGCACTATTGACACTGTAGATCAGATAATTTGTCACTGTGAGGGGCTCTCCTGTGCATTTTAAGATATTTAGCAATATCTATCCCCGACCTCTACTTACTAAGATGTCAGTAGTGGCCCTATAGTTGTTGCAACTACAAACGTCTCCAGACTTTACCAGATTTGCCCCTGGAAGGGCAAGGGGAGATCAAAATCACACCCAGTTGACAACCACTGCAACTGAATAATAGGTAAATATGCTAAATGAGAAAGATACCTTGAGCTTAATTGATGATGAAGATGCCTTGAGGTTAGTCACCATCAGTCAACATCTAACATCCTCTAGCACCACTAACAATGAAGAATAAAGGAGTAGTACTGATTCCAATAGTACTGTGGCTCTTGCTCTATTCAAGGCTCATTATTGATTTTATCATTTCAATATAATTTCCATTGTATAAAAATTGGGGTAAAAGGGCCTAATGATGGTTGTCTATAGCCACTCTCTAGTAATATCCCATTCCTGAATCACAGCAAAATCTTTTCTCCTACTCTTTCTCCCTCAGTTTTCACAATACACAGTTGCTGACTAGAATCACTTTAAACACAAATCTCAATTTTAATCATGCCATCCTCTGCTTACAGGGCCACCATAGCTCTCTATCACCTCTACTATCAAATATAAACTCCTCTGCATGGTCGTTAATGTTTCCTACAAACTACCACCAAATTCCATCTCATCAAACATCTTTTTTATTCTCCACTTACATCACCTTTACCCCCTCAGACACAAACAGCTTGCATATTCCAATCTCCCTATGTGACATATAAAAGGCAAAGTCATTTCACCCATGAAAGTTTTTCTAATTAATCCTCCTTTTATTTCTTACCAGTATCATATTTCTGTTAAAAGAACGACATTACTGCAAATTAATATGTGAGGCAATTGCTTACTGGATGGTTTCAATATGCTAGACACTGAATATTGCTTAGTAGCTGTTTCTATCAACTTACATTTACATTACTTATGCCCAACTAGATTGTAAGTTCCCAGAGGATAAGAACAGGTCTTATTTGTATCCCTCTGATGCCTCTTAATAATGATGCTAATAAATACACTTCAAATTTGATTAGCAATTATAGCCTTTCAAATTTCTTTCACGGTTATTAGCTTCTTGGCTATATATTTTGAGTATTTCACAGTCAATGAAAGTGGGACATTAAATGCTCTAGGGACTATCCTATGGTTTACACAATCGGTGCTTGGTAGAATATGCATTTAATATATGCTGACTGAATCCAGTCTCACAACTTCACAACTATAAAATTTCTGTCCTGTTTACAAAAAGTTCTTATGGCACTTAAAAATAAATGTTATTGTAAGGAAGAAGAACACTTGAATAATGTAGAAGACACAATATATAAGTAAATTAAGATTGGCAAGGGTTAAACTATAACATTGCAGGAAAGCAAAAGAGAAAAATCTTAGTTCCTGCCTCAAATTGGCTACAAGAGATTACCCACATAAGGCTTGGACCTCTTCACAGAAAGTAAAACTTTAAAAAGAAAGCAAAACAGAAAGGAAAAGCCACAGAATGGCTGATAAATCCCCAAATTCTAAAAATCACAGCATTTTACCTCACACATATGAAGAAGTTCAAGAAACTATTTTCCACAACTCTAAGAGATTTCCTCTCAGTTTTGGGGAGTCCCCAAAAAACATCAAAATACCTGTACGAACCACTTATTTTATCAACCTCTCAACTGACTTCAACAAAACACCAGCACTCAGAGGTCAGCTGATTTCTGAGGATACCCACTAACCCTAAGCACCATGTGCTCAGAGAAGTAACATCATTTAGTCACTAAATCTTTCAACATTTATTGCATGACTACTAAGTGCAGACACTGGCCTAGGCCCTGGGACAAAACAAAGAGGCCTCAACTTCAGTTGCTGCTGTGAATTGGTGCAGGGAATGCATAAAGGGGCAGGTAATCTGAAAAGATTTAAAAAAAAAAAAATTATCTTCAATGGGCATTTTCTCTTAATCCCTGGCCCTCCTCCACTCCACTCCCCCTCTCCCCTAACCTTCCACCTTGCACCCCACCAACTTTCAGTAAGCCAAGAAATTAAAGGAAATTCAAAATAATGAGAAACAAAGAGGACAGGTAAAGGGCCCTCCAGCCACCGCAAAGACATAGAACACAGCGCTCAACATATCCCTCAGCCACGTGTCTGAGCGGAAGTGCAGGAGACCACAGGCCGGAAATGCTTGGAGTAGGGGAGGGCCAGGGCCCCCAGGGGGACCGGAAGTGCACGATCTGGAGTGCGCGGGAGAATTGGCCCTGGGCAGGGCTGCACTGCAGAACCGAGGCTGTGGGAGGCCTCTAAGGGGTTTCTTTGACCACCAGGCCCCATCACACCATAGCAGGCTTTCCGCAAAGTCGAGACTTTTGAGGTTTTCCAAAGAGGTTCCTAAATGTGACGGAAACCTTTGCCGGGAGGTCTGCAGGGAAGGGTCGGCGCTCCTCTCCCTCCTTTTTCCCGGGCGAATCGGTGCCCCTCACACCCGTGCGGAAGGGCCTGGACACCTCAGCCCCGAGTCACTCGGGGAGGTGGGGGTTGGGGGGCGGGGGTTGGTGACCCCGGCGTTGGCCGAGCGGCGCCCCCTTCCTGAGGGAGGAAGACTGAAGTAGGAGGCAGATGGGGTCCCTGGGGACGGGATGTTGGAACGCGGGCCTCCGGGGCACCGGGGCACCGGGGGACTGCTGAGCGCGTCTCTGAGGCAGGGGCTTCGGGGCGGGGGCTTTGTTCCCGCCGCGCGTCTGCTCCGAGGCCCCGGCCGGTTCGGCGGGCGGGCGGGGGGGGTAGCCTGCCGAGGCCCGGCGCTCGGGCGGCGCTTTGTGAGCGGCGGAGAGAGGGCACCACGGGGCTCCTTTCAAATGAAATGGTTGAGAGAAAGGTTGGCTCCAGGATTTGTATCGGGCTATAGAAAAGAAGATGGAAACTCGAGTCCATCTCGGTTTGTCCTCCCCTGCCCCGAATTAATTCTGAAGCCCTCAGGCTGGCCTGCAAATGCGGGAGCCGGAGGAAAGGCTGCGTCTCAATCTCTCCGCTCCCCTTCCCTCCCTCGCCCCCGCCCCTACCTTCATCCCGCACACTTCATTGGCCCGTCTCAGGAATCCCTCACATGCTCCGCAAAACACAAAACGACCACAGCGCTCCACTTCACTACTTCTCAGCGTTGGGAGACTTACTCGCATCAGAATGGGAGAGCTAGAGAGTTCCTTGCTGGTCTTGATATAATTTAAATGCGCCAGCCCTGTTTGTTCCCAAAGCGTGAGAGGGAAAGTGTTTGGAATCCGCAGGGCTGATCAATAGATCTTCATAACATGGTGTATAAGGTCACTTGTAATCTCTCTTCCACCTTGTCGTCACTGAGACTTCGGTTGAGAGAGGAAATGGCTTTCCAGACGATTTTTCATCACATTAAACCTATGACTCCTTTTCACTCTCTTTTGGAATGTCCAAAGGGGGAATGGAAACTGTGTTAATTCCCAAAGGTCTAATGACCCGGAGGAGCCCTAACTCCTCTTCCCTCACTGCCTGCCCCCATCATCCTGGGAATGGGGAGAAACCCTGCGATCTGTGGCGGAAGAACTGAGGACCCCAACAACTTCTAATTGTTGAAAGGGGGAGGAGGGATGGAGGAGAGAAATGGAAAGGGGAAAAAAAATTTGTGTTCATTTACACATTTCCTGTGCAGAACAAAAAAGTCCCACCATCAGCAAAAGAAGTCTCTTCCTCCAAAATAGCAGCCAAAGAGGGAAAATTAGAATATGCATAAATTCCTTCATTTTCATTCGCACAGAACACGATTTCCGGCAGATTTGTATTTAAACTGCTCGATTAATCCCAATTTCTGAATAGCATTTTACTTAGCATCTTTCCAAAACTCACCTAAAGAGTATTCCTCTCCTCCCACTACCCTGTTTTGAAGCCTCTCTCTTCCCTATTCTCCAACTGCCAAGGAGAGTTTCACTGATAAGACTGTAACTTTATTTTTCCTTTCCATTGTTTACTTTTCAAAACTGGACTGATGCATTGGACCACACTTTAATACAAGCTGGCTGCTGTCTGTGAAGCCATAACTGCAAATGAGAGCCTAGTGGAAAGGATAGATTTTTGAAATGTGCTCCTAAAAGAGAATAATCATGATAGGACCCATAGACTTTTGCAGCTCCTCTCATGGCACAGAATCCTTTCCTATTGCACACAGGTCATATCCTTTCACCGTCAGCAGTAGTTTGGATGCTTGGACATGTCCACCACCCAAACCTTCCCCCTTCCCCTCCCCATTTTTAAGGAGCATGATAGACAATCACTCTTCAAAAGTATATTACTCTTCATAAATATTCAAAGACTGTCAGTCCATTAAATTCCACTATAGCCCATTTCTAAAATATTTGCTTTGCGACTTGTACAACAGATCTGGCTGTATCTGCCTTGAAAAATTCGTTGTTACAAAAAAAATGCTGGTGAGCATCATTTGAAACCATTCCCTTTCTGAAATATCATCTCATGACTTGGGCTTACCTCTCCTGTCTCTGAAAGTATATATATTTCTCTTATTTAATAGTAGGTGAATGTTTAAAGAATGAAATTACTACATCTTGGTTTACTGAAAATGTATGTAGATCTTAATTCCACTCGTCTCTAAATTCCTCACTCTTGCACACCCCAAGATGGAAAGAAACCTATATTATGAAGCACTACAATCTAAGCAGAATGTAGTGGTTTTGGGTTTCCTTCAGTGTTTACAGATCACGAATAAACCGCAATTATTGGTGGTTAAATATTGGGAATGCTAATACTTGTTTAGTTCTTAGTTTCTATAAAAAATTAAACATACATATTTGAAGTACATGCATCATAGTATATATAATATTTATGCATAAGCAGTTAAATATCTGGTTTATGTGGGCTAAAGATTTTTTAAAGATATTGGGATATAGAAGCCTATTAATTTTGTTAAATGGGTGCATAAACTCTGCACGTGGATGTCTGCATGGCTTTACTACTTTGTGAAATAACTGCTTTTATTGTTTCTCTACTTTCTGTCAAATATTCCCATTACAAAATTATTACCTTGGTTTCTTTCAGCTAGGCGTCTCTCCAGTGACTTAGAGGTTCTCAGTTATATACAATTAAAACCAAAATGTTTGAAAATAATTTCTTAAAAGCCATACTTTAGGGTGTATATAACAGGATTGAAAGCCACTTTTATTGGCAATGTTGATTTCTTTTAATTTTCTTATTGAAACAAATGATAGTTGTCTGTTAAAGGAACAATTCAAACCAATAACAAACAATCACAATAACTGAGAAGACTTTCCTTAAAATATTATCTTAATCAGAATTGGATTTTATATAGAAAGGTCCAGTTTGGTTTCAAGTTGCAGAGCTGTACTTCAAAAAAAAGTTGAAGTGAACTTAATAGTTATTAGTTATTATTCGTGCACAGAGAAAGCCTGGGGCACCATTGAAGAGTAGAGCAATATACAGCTGCAGCCAAAGCTGCCTTTCTCCCTTTGCAGACTGAGCATCACCTCAGTGAATTTATCCCTAGAAATGAAAGCTCCTCATTCTTTGCTGATCTTTAGTGAAATCATATTCTCATAAACTAGAACATTTTGATACTTTTTTAAATGAAAAGAGTAGACAGAAATGAAAATGAAATTTTCAGCCTCCCTGCTGTGAAAGGTGAACAGAGAGATCCTCGTACTGCAAGTAGGGAAGTTGCATCCTTCTTCCCCCCACCCTCCTTTCTTCCTTCAACTACTGTTTGGTTTAGATATAGATTGTGTGTACATGTAAGTTTGAAGACAATATCTAAAGAGAAATGTTTTCTAGAGGACAAAACTGGCTATTGATATTTATGTCTTTCTTTTTGTAATTTATTTTTTTTAACAAGGCATGCAGATTTTGTTGTCTCATAAATTTTCAGGAAAGCAGAACAAAGCAAAAACATTTAATGGTTACCCTTCCTTGCTCCCAAACTGTCCTTCTCCAATAAGCTAAGGTCCTTTTCCATTTGACCCTAGCTGCTGGACTGGCAAAGAATTTCCATCTCAGTCTCTGTTCTCCTTTCCCATAACCACCCTTTCTTTCTTAACCAGCTTTCTCTCCCCTCCACAAATGAAGGTAGTTATCAAACAAACTGCTTTAACCTCAGCATCTGCCTGACAAACATTGAGTCTAATTTCCTCCCCACCAGATTTTTACTTTCCTTCATTTCCTTTTCCTTCAGGCAGGAAAGTGGTGGGGAGGGGTACACAGAGGGCTCAGGAGATGGGGAGAACATTGGGCTGAGACGAGAGTTAGATTCCTGCAGGTAGGGAGAATCACTGGCACATTCTCTTCAGCCTAGTCTCAAGAGCTGGTGACTGTTCTTGCACCTAGAACAATAAACCATGGCAGGTGTACAATTGACAAAAGCACCTCTCCCTCCTCCTAAGGAGATGGGTTTAGCTTTACTAGGTAGACCACCACTGGTTACTAACATCTTTAATCTGGTCTCCCCTCTCCACTTCTACTCCCTTAACTTTATTGTCCCCTTTCCATCTCTCAATCCCTAAAGGAATCAAAAGAGTTCATCCAGGACCCCTAATTCCTAATTCTTGTGTCTTGCCCTATGGGCTGAGTCCCTCAGGGCCAGAGTTCTCAGTTATTCTGCCCTTCTCAACCTCCTCAGCTCTGTGAGCATGATTCCAAAATATGACAGCTTGCCCATTCACCAGCAGAGCTCCATCCAGAAGGCCAGGTCCTTCTACCCAAGAATCCCCTTACATCTGCCTCTGCTCGCAGTCTTCTTCCGGAGTTGATTTACTTCGGAATGGTGTCCAAAGGGGACATGCCCATTGCAATAATAAGGAGGAGAGGGTACAAAAGTATTCAGTGCCATTAAAAAGACCTACCATATCAAACCAAGGGAGTCTCTATTAGAATACTTGAGTTGGGCTGGAACAGATCATCCTTCTAACCAGTGAAACAAGAAATCAGAGGAATACCCGACTGCAGTCGTGAAAGACAAATCCCAGATTGAATTGGATTCCGTCTTCATCCTGTCGATCAGAGAAATTATTTTAAAATGGTTTCTGCTATTATTGTTTGCATTATTATTATTAACATTTATTTTTGTCATTATTGCTGCAGTTTTTATTTTATTTTTGTTGTTGTTACAGCTATTATACTATTCAACAGAAGTTTAGGAAGATTAGTCAGATTAATTAGTTTATTGGTAATTTAAAGCTGAAAACTAGTAATTAAGCCAAAAACTAAAAATGATCAGGGGATGATTCATACAATGTAGGATTTGGGAGGAAGAGAATCTAAATTTTGAATAAAAACTTGGCAACTGTGCAATAAACAGGACTTGGGGATCAGAAATATGATAACTGAAATATTCTTAGTCACTCAACCTCTTCTCCCCTCCTCCAAATTCAGATAAGATCATTCTGTGATTTGCTTGATAGAGGAAAAAATTACATTTGTTTTTGTCGAGGGAGAACAAAGCCCCCATGCTTGTTCTTCATGTGAGTTGCATTTGCACGTGGATTCCCTCTGTTGAGGGCCATCCAAATATCTAAGATCACTCCCCTTCAAGTTTGCCTCCTTCATCTCTTTGCTCTTGTTATGCACCTGACTGAGGAAGGTGCATGATGTAAGACAGGTCTACAATTTCAGCCCTCTCCACAGGCAGATTCCATGGAATATAAATTCAATAATGCAATTCTCTCCACAACAAGCTCTCCGCTCTCTTTCAAATATAATTAATGTTTTGATAGTGTAGTTCTTTAACTACATATATATACACACAAACAGACGCACCCTCTAGCTTTGCTGTTTGTGCCTCTAAAACAGAAATGGATGCGGCTCTTTCAGTGACTCCTAAAATTCCTCAACTCAGTCAGCCCACAGAGAAGAAATCTGTTTAGGTAATAACTGCACAGTCTGTTGTGTGCCCAAAAATATTTAAAACAAATTAAAAATGCAAGCGGTTAGTTTCTGATCGTCATTTTTTGTCAAATTTTCTAGAAAATAAAGGATATTCTGAATTTATATTCTGATACAGACATTCACTAGATAACAGTCATAATCAACAAAGGCACTATCCTAAACTACTGGTTGTCTTTTCCAAGCTTTGATGATGGACACTGAATTTCAATACCTTCTATTTTATCCAAGTGGGGCTGAACTGATACAGATGTATAAAAACTAGCAACTATAATAACAAGACTGCAACCACTCCCGTAAAAAATTGCCTACTCTGCCAAACACCTCAGTTATATGTCTTAGGTGGATTAATTCATTTAATTGCAGTCAGCTGTGAAATAGTTGGTCAGAAAGATAGACAGGTATGTAGATGACAATATGGCCAATAGAAGTTATGTGAGCAAATACGGCTGAACTTCCATATTCAAGTGTACCTATCTCTAACATTTCATTTCTGCAAGCCGATTACAATTATAAGAGGACAAAAAAACCTCTCAGACTATAGGACATGATACGTTTTAGGTCTTTAATAAAGAAAAGTACATAATCTATAATCTTTAGTCCGATGAAAATATAAACTTTAATTTCCCTATACTGTTATTGAGTTGAAGAAGCTAGTTATTTGGAACTTATAAACTGATTTCCAAGCATTTGGCCATTTTGTTTGATTTGTGAATGTATGTGAGGTGCTGGCAGAGTAAGTATTTTACACGTTTCTCCTCTCCACAAAATTTTTAGAGGGACTACGCAAAAGAGATTTTTAAAAAATCTTTTGAGGTTTTACTTTCTTACTCTTCACGTATTTGATGTTAGGAATTGTAAAAGATGATAAAAGAATGAACAAATAAAGAAGCACATGTGGCTGGTTTCAAGTAGATCTTTTCACTGGATGGGAAAGAAACAAAACTATTTCCCCGGTGCAGTTATGCAAAAAAAAAAAAAAAAAAAAAAAAAGGGAGAGAGAGTGCGATTCGTGAAGAGCTTGAAAGTTGTGCTTTTTGTTATTGTTTTAGATGGTGGCCCATCAGGGTTCCTTTGCCTTTACTTTCCTTCAAACTGTTTTCCTTGAAAGCATCAATGTGGGAACAACTTATCCCTCCATTCTTTCACAAGCTAACACATAAACAGCAAATATTTTAAATTTTCAATAGAAAAAGTCACTACAGGTTCAGAGATTTGATCTTAGTATGGAACCAAATTACCAATCCCAGTTGTTTAGATACAGTTAACTTGATACTTGCCTCTAGTGAGCTATACAATTCTACACATAAAGGTAAGATTTTTACAATATTGATCAGCAAGGATGTGTGAACTATCAAAAACAAATCCTCCCTCAGACTTTTCATATTTGTTCTGATTTCTTCCTCATTTTTCCTTTCTTTCGATTGGTTTTTGAGGCAGTGACACTACTACTTCTCTGATTTTCAAATGAGGTTTTGTTCGGCTCAGATTAATATTAAAGAAGATCACATACACGGCTGGAAAATATTGTTATTTTTCTTTAATGGGGAAAATTGGACTCCCGCGTGTCAGATCTGTGGTTTTCCGAAGGGCAATGGAAATGGTACTGACATCACTTTGCACTTTAACAATCGGATTTGGTCAGGGTACAAGTTGTTTGTTTAACCCGACAGCTCCGTGCACCCTGTCGCACGCTTTGCACACTCATTAAAACGATTATTCACGACCTGTCGAGTGTTTTCGGGTTCATTCACAGGAAAGGCTTGGAGCAAGCGAGAGCAATTCAAGTCAACACTGTCCACTACCCCGATGCACGTGAGGACGAGCTGGTGCGTGCGCAAAAAGACTGGGGCTGGGGTGGGGGGCGGTGGTGAGCACCCCTTAGCTATAAGTCCTGTTCATCCCATGCTCTGGAATCTCAATCTCCCAAGAATGCCACGAGTGCTTGGTCCTAAAGGGCTATGCCTCTGTGTTAACTTGAAGGGCTTGGTACAGGAAAGAAAAATAAAATAAACCAAAGAAGTAAACGGAAAGCTCTCCCTCTCCTCCTCCTTTCAACCCTCTGCAAAGCTTGAGGTCTCGGGGCTCGCCCACCTTCTGCCTGCAGCCGCCGGACTGCGAGGCTCCACCTCTCACAGCGCGGATGCTGAGGATAAGTAGTTTCAGGAAAACTCGCCAGGGTGTGGAGATTAATTCCTTTGCCATCTCCCAAGGCCCTTTCGTTCTTGGGAAACGGTTAATTCGGTTAACCGAAATTCGGTTAATATTCGGTTAATTTTCCTTTCATATTCATCGCAAATACTGTCGGGGGTGGGGGGGCGCAAGAAAGGAAGAATGGGACTGTTAACTGTATTTGGTAGATGTAGTCCAGATTATTAGCAAGGAAAGACTCATCCTCCAAACTGCAGGAAAAGTCTCATAAAAGGAGGAGCAAATAGCCCTTGATAAATTAGGCCACTTTCTTTTTTTTTCAATTTCCAAGTCATCTTTTAATATTTTGTAATGACAATAAGAGAAGCATAAACACAATGCATCTCAATCTCCCACTATTGCCTTGTACATATAAAAGACACACCCGTGGTCTCTAGCTGTTGTGTTTGTTCAAATGAGCCCTGATACATAACATTCATATGTGAACTATTAGTTCAAGAGAAATGCCTATCTGCATAAGGTATAATTGTACCTATACACTAAATAATAGAATTGATGACTGTATATATGCATTTAATTCGTACTGAAGAACTCTGGAATATCCTGTTCAGCATAAGTATCCCTGGCATAACTCGAGATAATGGATGTTTTAAAACAACACTATTTCTATATTCAAATCCCGCTGCTCCTTGATTTTTCATCTACAGCATTAGTAAACCCAGTGTCCACCTTACTGTTGAGGGTAACCTAGTCACGCCAACAGAAAAAGACAACAAGCCTCATTCATCAGTTCCATTCTATTATGTCTGACATCATAAAATCATCTATTTTCCTATTTTATTGAAACATAACAATACAATACACGAAGAGAAGAATGAAGTTTTCAAGTTGCATGAAGTTTTAATCAGAAACAGTTTCCTAATTGCTAAAAAGCAAGTAGGAATAAGTAATTCTGTAAACTCTTTGGGTTGCCATAATTCGCTATCAGCTTTACTTAAAATTGATCTGTCAAGTGTGTTTCCTATGTAAGCTCTTTCATTAAAACCAACCTGCGACAATAATCAAGAGGCAGATGCTGAAATATGTAAGTAAATAACTGAAAGCCTCTGCATAAATAAACACAAATCAATGCAGTAATAGACAACCCTATCGATGGAGCAATGATCGATTTCAGTCTTCCGACCTACAATCAGAGCTCACAATGTATAATTAAAAGTATATTTTTCAACTCCACTGATATTACTACTGCTAGATAAATAAATAAATAAATAAATAAATAAATAAACAAGCCCTATTCCCAGTTCTACCTGATTCTCCTTTATTCCATTGAGAGTATTTTTGATGGGGTGGGAGGAGTACACTACTTTTTCTAGGAAAGCTTTGCCAAACTTTAAAACTACATCATTAATTATAAAAATTATAAAAGTATAAAATAATAAAATTACCACCTTATTCCTGCTCTGAATTTTTCAACCTTCATCATAGCCTCTAATTATTCATTCAGCACATTTTAATAGGAAAAACACACAATAGGGCTCATTATTTTTAAAGATTTTTTTCAACAATTGTAATACCTTTAGGTTTAAAGATTCTTTGGGCCTTTTGTTTAAAACAAATGATAAAAGTGTCATTTCCTCAGTATATCCTGGAAGCTCTTACGCCTATGCCTGCATATGCAAGGAATCTGAAACAAGGAAGGGGGGAGGAAGCATCTGCGTTATTCCAAAATTGTTTCATATAATGATTGCAAAACAAACAAGTGTCTGACTCAAAGAAATAAATATACTTTGGATTTCTAGAAATTCACATCCAAAACAATGTTTTAGATTTTGCTTCAAGTTAAACTTCCTTTTTGAGAATATTTATCCCTGGAGGGCAGAATTAATTTAGATTAGCAAGCACCACTGCATGATGAGTTTGAGGATTTAGGTTCCGTAGACTAATGAAAATACGGCGGTGTTCATAGTTTTTTCTTAACCAACAAAGATGTTTATTTACATTCATCCTTGAATTAGTGTGGTCCTTCTGAAGCACAGGCCTTTAAAAGAATTTATTTATGAAATTCAGCTTCTTTGAAAATGATTTATCTTACATAATATCATCAGATCAAAATATCGATTTTGATTATCTTTATATTATTATGTGACCAAGCATTCTCTTTGACTCCTCTCCTTCCCATCCAGGGAACATAATTCAGGGGCAACCAGACCCAAACGGAAAATATCATCAGTTATTGTTTAGGGCTAATTTAACAGATAATTTAACTTCAAACAACAATGATCAGGTCATTAAATTTCAGAGCAGTGAGAAAATGAAAGAAGAGAGACAACTCTCCCGTAACACCACTACAGTTTTTAGTCTTCCTGCTCAATCAACGGAGTCAACAACGCCATGCCATAACGACGTGGAGGAAGATATGTTTGCATCTTAAATGCCCTCTAATTCAGAGAATGAGACAATAAAGAGGGAAGAAGAGGAGGAATAAAACTGAAGAAGACTACCCCAAATTGGGGAGTGCTAGCCCTGTAGGGACATTCAACCTAAGGTGAAAATGAATATCCAAAAATGTCTGGCAACTGAACCCTCTTTTTCATTCGGACACGAATCTTCAAATCTCGCAACATGAAGCGTGCTTTCCTCCCGTGCAGCTTTCCAAAAGGCCGAATGCTAGGGGAGAGGATTAGGCAACAGACCACAAAAGGGACATGGGGCATTTTCTCTCCCCTCCCACCCACACAAACATAATTTTGAGAGTTATTTGTTATTATTTTAAATGTCTTTTCTGGTCACAACAATTTCGAAATTTCTGCCTACCTCAAGTTTTGATATAGGGCCGGGTGAGGATGGTGTTGCAGGATCGAAATTGGGTCTTACAGAGGGCAGGGTGGGGTGCGGTCCGAAGCGGATGAGCTCTATTCTGTATCATCCTTTCCTTCCATCGTCTTTCCAAAGCTGAAGCTCACAGCCTGAGAATCTCCGGCACACTTGGGATGCTTTGCCCACCCAAACCCGTGCCTCCTTCTCCCCAGCCCACGGCCACCCTTAGTGCTAAGGAAATTCCTATCCCAAGGCTACCTCTTTTCCTTAAGAACCCTTTATCTTGGACCACAGGCTTGGCAGAAAAGGAAAATGGGATAGAAAGCGAAATGGAAGGGGAGTAGGGAGTGGAAAGAAGAAAAGATGTCTTTGCAGAGAAAACAGTTTTATCAACTAGCAGATAAGTGCTGAGATTTGAAACCGCACCAGGTAAACAAGAAGAAACAACTTTCTCGGGGCAAAGGGGGGAGCGGGGGGAACACAGAAGAATAAGAAGAAAGGAAAAAGGTAGGGAAGCGCGCCAGCCAAGGTTCTGGAGTCAATTTTCCTGGCACCAGCCAGCGTGAGCTACCAACTCAAAGCTCAGCTTGTCCTGGGCAAGAGCGCCCTCACCTTGCTGCTCCACGCGCAGCGCCCGGTTCCCTCCGCTGGCATCTCGGCCGCCGCGTCCCGGAGCGCCTCTGCTCCCGGCCACCGCTCCGCCCGCGCCGCCCCGACTCGACGGCCCAAGTCACTTTGCTACAAGGTTTCAAAACCCGAGAAAACAAAGCTGCCAGGGCCCTGCCGCAAGGACTCCAAGTCCCGTCACCGCGCCCCTCTCCATCTTCATCAAGGAGTCCCCGAGGCGCCAGGACGGCTAATAGGAAACCACGGCGAGGGCCCCAAATTCGCTCCGGGCCGAGCCGACCTGTGTCTGGCGCGCTCGCAGCCACTCTCGGGACAGCCAGGCTCTCGAGCTTACACTGCCGTCTCCTAAGTGTGCATTAAGAATCAATTATTTGCCTGAGATTCCCAAAGCCGGTAACTGGGATATTCCCAGCAGGGACAAAGTCAAGCCCCGAACGGTGCTCATTTCCCTAGTCCTTCGAACAGGCGCGGCAGAGAAACCTCCCACCCGGTCCCGCGCCGCGCTCTACCTGGAGCAGGTCCGCTCAGCCCCCGGGGCCCTCGCCCGACCCAGGTCCAGGAGCAGGGGGCGGAGGCCAGCTCTGGGGGAGGTTGGGGATGTGAGTGTGAAAATAGGCGGAGGAGGGCATTCTACCAAGAAAAAAAAAAAAGAAGAAAAGAAAAAAGAACTTCAGAATGAGGCAAGTCCTTGGCTCTCGAACAAAAACCTTTGTCTCAAATAGAAAGAGCAAACACCTATGGGTTTGAACGTTGAGAAAGGCCCGTTAGGGTATTCTCGAAGCTGCAGTGAGACTCAGAAATCATGTTTCCAAGAAATGAATTACTTTGTACTTTAGGACCTATTTCAGTCTCCCAGTACCCCTTCTCCATATAAATTCGTTTCATTTTCTCTTCATCCCTCTTTGCCATATCTACATCCTTTTTACTTAGGGATCCACTGTGACTTTCTGCCGACGTGGAAAAATCATGCATTCTTTCAGCTACTTCTGTTGATACGGAGCGCCTGCTAAGGAAATTTTTCCAAAAAAAGAGGAGCACTTTTAGTCCCTGACCTAAAAGTCGCGGTTTCAGCCTCAGTCAAAAGCAGTCGGGCGTAGCCCCCCTCCCCTCCGAAAAGCACTTTCACTTACCAATCTCGGGGTAAGAGAGCTTCCAGTCCTTCAGTCTTTTTTCTCAGCATCCTTCGGACAACCTCAGGCAGACTCTTGGGTGGAGGAAAAAAACAGATAGAAATCGGAAGGGAGAAAAGAGACTCCAAACGTAACACTACATCATATATTCCCCAGAGCCACCTTGGCCTACATCCTCAGGACAAGGTCCCGGCGAACTGACCGCTGGAGTGGAGTAAAGGTCGGTTTGGGGGCCGAAAACTAAGAGGAGGCTTATTTTAACTGCTGGTGGTTGGGGGGAGGGGAGGCCCTGAAGGGAGGGTAGGGAAGGGGGAATGATTGGGATGAAAAAAGAAAGCCTTAAAAAAAAGAAAAAGAGAAAGAGAAAATCGAGAACGAAGTACAGTGAGAGATAGCGCCTTTGAACTCTTACAGGTAGGTCGCTCTTAGGAAGAATGCAGAAGTGTGTAAGCGCGAAAGCAGAATCTAGATGACCCCTATTCTTTCCATATCCCCAGGATCTTGCCTCAAGTCCAAAAAAAAGAGGGGAGAATTTTCATTTAAGTTTCACCTACCCTGCTTGTTGGAATGTCTGCGCAGATTTTCACGTTGGAGAGTTCCATCTGTCTGGCAGAAGCTGGAGTGGTGTTGGGGGCAGGTTATCTGGTGAAGTAGGAATGTACAGGAACCCCGCCCTCTAGGCACAGTTACACAACCCCAGCACCCGTCTCAGCCAGCTCTAAAACCTCTAATGATCTTCACCTTCACCCTTTGTTAGCCTATTTCTCCAACAGGCATTTAGTCCCAAACACAACCAGCCGCTTTAGCTATTCATAAAATTAACTTCTCAAAAACAAAATTATTTCAATGCATGCAAATTCCTCAACAATGTTGTAGAAAACACACTTTTTTAAAAAACCGCATTCGTATATTTAGAGTTCTAAATATATTTGATTTATCCACCTATTTGGGTGAAATATTCATCAACTTAAATATACATAATTAAATCAACACACTACAAGACTCATTTTTTGACTCTCTACCCTTGATTTTAGGCAAGTCATAGAAAGTACATGAAATCTTCCATGTAAAGACTGTAAAGATATTCATATTAAATCTTCTTAGTTCTGGGCCTCATGTTTGCTGGATTTCCAGCTTTGTAACAGGTTGAAGAAACATCTTTGGAAGAATTCTTTCAGTGCTCTAGTTTAACTCAATTGTTTTCTCAATGTTTTATATATTAATAACTTATATTAACTTTATACCAGATAAGGTCAAGTAAAATACTTCAAACCTGGAAATAAACTGTAATTTGGGATTTCAAGTTTTAAGTCGTGATCACTTTCAGTTCCAAAATCTCAAAAAGAGCAACCTTCATCTTATCAAAAACAATTGTAAGTATGGAAGAAGGAAAGCTTCAAAAGTTTTGAAGTGTTTTTCTGGCACAAGCTAATTTTAACCAGCAGAGGTTGGTGACAGCAAATATCAACACAACATTACAACCAATTTGTTGCAAAAAAAATCTATTAAATGCCTTGCTAGACTGTCGTGTGTTTTTGAAGAAGGTAACTTGGGTGACAGGGACAGATTGAGATAAATGAAATGTTCATATTGGGCTTCAGGTGGCCTTCAGAAAGTTCTCTCTCTCTGCATATCCCCCTTCGTATCTAGCATGCATATTAAACAAGCTAGTCTTACTTCTAATCACATCCATTATATATGGAACATAGACATGTTTCCAAGTAGAACTTCCACTCCACTTCCTGTCCTTAGTTTCTATGAATTTAATCAAGTCAATTTTACTCTTGACCTTAACGTATGAAGTTTGCCATTGAAATTCTATTTCTCGATCATGCAAATAAATACTTATCACAAATAAGTGTAGTTATTTAATATGGCCAGAAAAAAAAATACTCATGGGGAAATCTTTCTTCTAAATCGATGACCCTTTATCTCAATTTAAGAATTCAACTTTCTCTTTAACTTTTGATAGACAAAAGATTATATTTCTTCTGTGCCAGTACATTCTCATCCCACAAGTGAAATCCATGGTAAAAGCAAACAATACATCATCACCTTTTCCAGTCTAAACACATGCCTTTCTTTGAGCTGCTTTGGTTCACAAATGTTTAATGGGGATTTCCTTTGCCTAACCTCATTCATTTGGACTCTATTACTATTTTTAATATCAGCCATAAAATTGGCTTCTAAAACAATTTATTTGTGCAATTTTCTTTCATGCTTCCTTCTGAAGAACTGTTAACTTTCAAGAAACTTGGATCTCTGGTGAAACTGCTCATGTACTGAGAAAATAAAATTGTATCCAGTCTGCCTAAAGGAGATAATTAAACTAGCTGTCTTGGTCTATTTTGGTCCATTCCCCATTTGTGTATATTTAGCTCCAGCTCTTTTAATTTTCCTGGTCCTCACCTTTCTGTCTTCCTTAGCTCTCTCTCTCTCTCATTCATTCTCTTTCTTTTTGTGGTGACAGTTTTTTTTTCAGCTTAAATATCCTCTTTCCCTTTCCTCCCTCTCTCACTCTTCCTCTATCTCTCCAGTCCACAATTCGCCCACCCCCATGTTCCAATATTAACTATTCTGTATTTCTATTTCAAATCTATTTGAGTCAGCTTGCTTCTCTCCTAGGCTTTTTTTTTTTTTTTCCCTGAGCAACTCTCTAAGTGTTTGCCGATAACATCTTGGGGACAGATTATTTTTCATTGGGCCCATTGTAAGAAGTAGCCAGCTTATTGCATTACTGCAGAACACATTTCAGACTATACAATTGTAACAAATGAACAACTTGTCCTCCACGGACTCACCACAGGATCCAATTAGTTACTAAACCTTTTACTTAGATTTTCTAATTATTTTCTGGAGTCATAGCAATTGGGCTGCTGAAACAATTCAAAAAATGTTTTCATTTTGTTTCAGATTTATATATATATGCATATATATGCATGCATATGTATATCGCAAGTTAAAACAAAATTATGACTATAAGCAAAGGAACAAATCTCTAGATTAAATTATACAGACATATTCAAAAGGGAATCAAATAAATACCTCTATGTTGTAAAAATGAAAGAAAAGAAGAAAGAGGCATTTTACTTCTTCTGAACATCTAGAATTTTAAATTGTTATAATTTAAAAATAAAATATAAACATTGATCTGCAAGTCATTACAACAGGTGATCACTTCAGCAAAATCTATATTGCAACTTCAGCACATCTTTATTAGAACTCTTTCATTGTGGGTAAACAGCCACAAAAATAAATGCTGACTTAGAAAGTATAAATACAAATATTTAAACAAAAATATTTGCAGCATTCATAGCGCAAATTGTACCTGAACTGAAGGGCTCTGTGTGTCTATATATATTACATATGTGTGCATTATATTCACTTCTATCTAACCATATACATATATTTATTTATAATTTGCCAAGTGCTATAAACAAGATACCTGAAACAAAATATATAAAAAGTAAGCATTCTATTAACTGATTTGAAAGTAAACACAAGGTAAATAGCTATGCACATAAAATTAAATTATCTTTTTGCTGTATATCTACAGAAACTTAAAGACATCAGCTGAAAAGTCTATATTTTGTTTAAAGCTAGTGTTTATTAAATAGCCTGCTCCTTGTAAAATTTGATTCCACAATGGAAAATAATACTATTTTCATTTTTAAAGTCTCAGTTCAAATGAAAGGAGCAGTTTAAATTTTAGTTGGCTGAAAAAGCCTTTGAATTCCCTAGGACTTTAATGGTCTTTTAAAAATTACCTCTACTTAATAAAAGAGACAAAAGTATCAAGATATATATGAATTTAGCCTATTTTTTATTTCTGTGTGTTCATAGTAAACATTTTTGTAAGTGACAAACACGGGCATATGACCACAGTATCACAATCAAGAAATTTTAAGACAACATTAACAATCACTCAAATTTATGCGGCATCTGCGCAACACAGGTTACATATTTGCAAGGTTTACCTATAAGTACAATAGGTATTAACATTTCACTACATTTAGAAAAAATAAAAGTGACCTGTTAGTGACCACATACATCAAAATATACACAACACAAACTGAAGGCAATCATTAATTTTTCCCCTTCCAATTCATTTGAATGGGCAGTGCTGCCAACTGAAACAACTTTCCTTTTTTTTGTTTGTTTTTTTTAATACTTAATATACCAAGTGCATTTTCTAGAACCCAATCTTTGGTCTAAAAGTAAACAAAAGAAAAAAACAGTTTTTTAAAGAAAAGGACAAAACAATAAATGGCCAAAATAATTTCTTGGGCACCTTTACTACGAATGCTTCTTAAATACAAATTACAGTTTAACATTTTAAAACTCTCCCCATAATTTAGGTTGTTCTCAAGGTCTGCGTCCACCATATAGATCCATGATAACTTATAATACTGCACACATGGAAATCTGGCGGCTCTTAGAGATAGACCGGTCAGGTTTGAATGAAATGGCAAAGCAGTCACTATTTAGATACACATTCTACTATAATTTTGACTTCCAAACTTTATATTCTACAATGTATTCTCCCCACATTGCACCTCGCTGACACTCCACACCTTGTTAGAATAATAAACAACCCTAAAGACTGAACAAACGTACAGAAATGGGGGGGGGGGGCTTAATAAAAAATACCTGGACTTATTTTTTAATTATCATTTACAATGCAAATGTGTGTAAAACGTTCACTTACAGTCTGGTCCCAGGGATGTTAATGTATTAAAGGGTTGGAAGAAGACCCCTGATTTTGATGTGTGAAATAATCAGACAGTCCCCCGGACAGTCCCGTCGTGAAACTTGGCAAAGAGGGTCTTAAAGACTCACAGGGCAGGGTCGAGGGGGCCTGCGGAGACGTGGAGGAGGACGCGGCCCGGGCGCTCATGGACGTGCTGCTCTGCGAAGTCATTGACGGGTGCGGGACGTGGGGGAAAAAGTAACTGGTCTGGCCCGCGAGCAGGTTGACCGAGCAGGGGTTGAGGGAGTAGGTCCCGGAGCAGGGCACCGACAGGCCGCAGGGCACCGAGGCGGCGAGCGCGGCGGCCGTGAGGTGGTGCGTGGCGTACGGGATCTCCCCGTTGACCAGGCGGTCCACGCTCAGGCCGTTGGCCGTGGAGAAGGAGTGGTTGTTGCCCAGCGAGTTCTGAGTCAACACGGAGCTGTAGGGCATGGGGTGGCTGGGGTAGGCCGACGTGGTGCCGTTGTAACTCAAAGTGCTGCTGGCGCGGGGGTGGTGCAGGGAGAGGAAGGGCGACATGGGCCAGTAGAGGGAGCCGGCGCGGTCCATGAAGGTGAGGCCGGTGGAGGTGAGGCGCGCCCCGCGCTTGAAGGCCAGCTTGGCCCGCGACGTGGTGGAGCGGCGCCGCAGCTTGCCCGTCGTGCCGCCGATGAACACGTCGTCGCTCGACGGGTCCAGCATCCAGTAGTTGCCCTTGCCCGGGTCGTCGTAGTGGCGCGGCACCTTCACGAAGCACTTGTTGAGGGACAGGTTGTGGCGGATGGAGTTCTGCCAGCCCTGCTTGTTCTCGCGGTAGTAGGGGAAGTTCTTCATGATGAACTCGTAGATGCCGTTGAGCGTCAGCCGCTTCTCCGGGCTCTGCCGGATGGCCATCATGATGAGCGCGTTGTAGCTGAACGGCGGCTTCTCGTACTTGCCGTTCTTCTTCTCGCCCTCCTTGCCCCCCTCCCCGTCCTTGCCGCCCTCGCCCGCCCCCTTCTTCTCCTCCCCCCCGGCGCCGGCGCCCTTCTCCTTCTCGTCCGGCCCGACGGGCGCCAGCTCCCCGGGCCCGCCGCCCGGCTCGCCCTTGCCGCCCAGCCCGTCTGCTTTGGCCCCGTCCAGGGCGGCGGCCGGTGGCTGCGGCGGCGGCGGCGGCGGGAGCAGCAGCTGCTGGGGGCCCTTGTCGTCGTCGGCGGCCGGGACGCCCCGCGCCTGCGAGGGCTGCGGGGCCTGGGGCGGCGGCGGCGGCGGCGGCGGCGGCTGCTGCTGAGGCGGCGGCGGCGGTTGCGGGGCGGGCGGCGGCGGGTGGTGGTGATGGTGGTGGTGGTGGTGGTGGTGCTGGGGGTGGTGGCTGTTGTGGTGGCCGTGGCTCGCGTGGTGGTTGTCGTTCTGGACCGCCTCCGGCACCAGGCTGTTGATGCTGAACGAGGACTTGGGGATCATTTTCACCTCTTTCCTATCTCCCATGTCCAGCATCACCCAGTCGTCGGGGGGCAGCGGCGGCGACGGCGCGGGAGCGGGGCAGCGGCGCGGCGGGCGGCGGCGACCGGTGGGCGCCGAGCGGGGCGCGGGCGGCGCGGGCGGCGGCGGCGGCACTGAGCGCTCCGGCAGCAGCGCAGTTGGACCGCAGGCTCCGGCGCTGGCAAGTCATGTAGCAAAAGCAGCAACCACCCCTCAGGAATTAGAAGAAAAAAAAAAAAGGGAAAAGAAAAAAAGAAAGAAAGAGAAAAAAGAAACAACCACCGCCCCGGGGGTGAAGCTCCCTCGCTCCCAACTCTACTTCTTGGTCTCCCCCCCACCCCCCGCTCCCCCCCCTTCTGCTGCTTCCTCCTCCTCCTCCTCCTCTCGCAGCAGCAGTCACAGCAGCAGCAGCAGCAGCCCAAAGGGGGGGAGAGCCGGGCGGCGGGCGGGCGCGTCCCGGAGCGGCCGCGGCGAGGCTGGGGAGACAGCGATCTAGGCGGCTATAGCCACAATTAATTTTCCGAGCTACAGGCGCACACTAGGGCTGTAAAAAAATTTTTGGTTTAACCTTTCCTACCGTTGGGCCAATCAGAGCGGGCGGCGTGCGGGAGCGTCTCTCCCGCCGTCGACCAATCGGCGGGGCCCGGGCCCCCCCCCCCCCCGCCCCCCCCCCGGCTCCCGCCCCCTCGGGCGCTCGCCTCCCCCTCTCCGCGGGCCTTGGCCTCGCGGCCGCGCGGACCCGCGTAGGGATACGCCGGGAGCACGCTGCGCCGCGGCCCTTGCCGGCGCGCCCTCCACCGCGCGGGGCTGCGGCCCCGCAATCCCCCTTCTAGGGGCACGTCTCTCCCGTTTCCGGCTTCCTTCTCCCTGTATTGGGTCATTTTCGTTTCAGCGTCAATATTTGTCCTTATTGATTAAAGTTGGTATCCAATTTTATTTTTCCCAGCGGGGGCGGCGGCGGTGGCGAGCAGAGTGGGAGTGCAGGGACAGGATGCGAGGAGAGGGCAGGAAATGGAGGAGGCGAGGCACTACTTTCCCGAGGCGGCCCTGCAGGCCCGGCTCCGGCATTGCTGAGCCCGTAGGAAAATTGTGCCCCGTGTAGGTAACACGGCAGCGAGGCTTCGGGTGGTTGGGGAGGGAAGGCCCACCCCTGGCGTGGGGTGGGGGGAGGTGTCCTCTACCTTGGGGGAGGAGGGTCCGGGAGAGGTTTGGAAGGGAAGGGATGAGGAGGAGGAAGTGGGCTGGCGAGCGCGGGGCCAAAGAGGGGTTACTTACTCGGTTCCTGCGGCCCGGGCGGCGGCGAGCTCGGAGCGCCGGCGCCGCGGGGAGGCCGGGCCTGGGGCTCTGGCGCTGCGGCGGCGGCGGGCGGGGGCGGCTCAGTGGTGGGCGCCTCTGCTGGTCTTCCGCAGTGAGGTGTGCCCAGAGAGAAAGCAATCCCAAACAATCTCGAAATAAACCAGGTAACACATGCTATGTATGTGTGTCTCTTCCTTCCCTTCTCTCCTGCTCCAGACCGTCGCTCACGCGCCGGGTGCCTCGGTGTCGTTTTCGCCTCGCCGCTCCAGCGTCTCCTCCGCTTCTAATCCGAATTGGAAGCGAGTAGCTGCGAGCGATCACCCTGGAAATGTTTTCATTTTGCTTGTTGACATTGGAGGGAAAATAAGGGTGGGCGTCTGTTTCTTTCCGGTTTTTAAGCCTTCCTATTTTCACTCCCTCTTTTCTTTTTGTTTCTCAAATGCTTTTAATTTGTGCGGGCCTTAATCCTGAAATAACCGCATGCTGGAGCCAGCCCTTCTCCCAGCCTGAACGCTGCTAGAAGGAACCTAGGAGCCTTGGGAACGTGGGTCCCAGGATCTCAGCTTCTTGGGCTTTAGGACTGGGGAGGTTCGGTTGAGGGCTCAAGTGAGTGGGGAGATTGTCATTCGGGGGCTTTAAAAGGATCCCGTGGCCAGGGGCAGGGCTAAGGCCCAGCATTTCCCAGGGATTGGAATTTGGTGCGGAGCACACTGATCAAAGGCTGTTTCATCCCACATGGGCACGAAACACACCACATTTTACGGAGGATGTAGCCCGAGAATGGAGGGAGGTGGAGGAGAAGCATAAATGAAAAGCACCTTTCCCTCCTCTGTCAGGTAAATAATCACACAACGTAAACATTTCTTCACTTTGATAAACTCTCAGTTGAATTATCTGGCAGATTTGGTATTTAAGAAAACGAAGGAAGGAAAAGCGGTGCCAGTGTGTAATGTTAAAGTTCAGTTCTAATATAACGAATGCAGTTGATGAATACTCAGGTTAATAAGGAGTTATCCCACTCTTCCCACCCCACACTTCACCTTGAAATTCTGAGACAGAGAGAGAGAATAAACTCTGAAGAGAATAATACACAATTACAAAATAGCAATTTTTAAGTATGTACCTATCAGGCAAGCCATAAAGGAACTTGGAACGTTGGACTAACCTCAGTTATCCTTCCCCTGTTTGTATGTATTTTCCCCCTATTTCTACATATTTCCTTACTTCACAACAAATTACATTTATATGTAGGCAAATTCAAGGGTTCCAGCTATCAATGTTGATAGTGACATGGCCCGAAACATCGACTTGTAAGCTCCGGATTTCTTACAGAGCCAGGGGACCTAATGGGCTTTTCGGCTGGCTGGAGAGATCTGTGGGCCTTGCTCTTCCTGCTCACTTTTCCTCCTCCCACTCTTCTCCCATCCTAAGGCCTGTTATTCCTACTTTTCCTCAACTCGCTTTCTTCCCTCCTCCCCTCAACTCCCTCCACCCCTTCTCCACCCTCTATTCCTTTCCCTCACTCCGTTCCTCCACCTACTCCTCCCCGTTTCTCCCCCCACAGCCCCCCTTCTCATCACCACTTATAATGGCACACAAGGGCTCCCTCTGAGGTGGACGGCCCGGTACGTTTTCGTAGTCGGTCTAGCGTGAAATGATTCGGTGTAACCGGATTCTTGGGAAAGGACAGGTTACGTAAACATTTACTGATGTGGAGTAACTATACTATTTGTACTCTGATATGCAGGAAGGAAAGTGTTGATTAACACAGAAGAAAAAAAAGCGAAATTAGCTGATTGCATGCTCATAAGTGCAAGCTGTCATTGAACTGCTTTTAAAATAGACACAGCTGGGTGTTTGTGTTGAAAAATTTCTTGTGTTTTTGCTAATACTGAAATAAGCATGATTTTGTATACCAAACATTTTCAGATCATTAAAATTTGTAATCTGTGCTGGTTTTAAACACAAAGAAAAGAAACAGAATCATTTCGATGTAAAATTTGCTGATATTATATTAACTCAATCAGGTCTGTACAAATTGTGCATTGTGCCTCCTAAAATCTGTTTGATCAATTTAATACACAAAGTGCCAAACGTGGGTATTGTTTGTTAACATTGGACATTTTATTCAAATCTGAGCTCAGCAGCAAACTGGAGGAGCATTCCTTGAATACAACACCAGCACTGACTGATGAATTTTTAATGTTTTAAGGTGTTTCTTAGGTCAAAGCTGAGTGTGCATTGTTTTGTAATCCTGCATAAAATTTTAGCAGGTGAAAATAAGTTTTTCTTCTGTTTACTTTAGAATAGCAAAAACTGGGGTTTGCTAATGAGAGCTATAATAACCTGATTTTATATGCCAGGAGCTTATATTGACTGGGAAAAGATTTTACATGCAAATTAAGAATGTGTGGTATTTATTTTAAGGATTGCATGGATACAAGTCTCTCAAAATAGGATATTTATGTAGGAATAAATAGATTATAGTTTAATATAATCATATTACAGATCTTTTTTTCCCTAATGACAAAAGTCATGTGCAATTTGGGGAGAAGTGAGTTTGAATTCCTCTTAATCATCTTACTTGGACTCTATGGTGAGATAGAGTGCCATATATATATATAGGTGTGGGGGTAGGCTGTTCAACAAAACATGCACTGTTTACTCAGCAGCCCACATTTGTCTCAGCAATGCCTTCTTTTTAGAACTGCTACTAGATGAAATGGAGGGGGAGGGGGTTCTTGGACAGAGTATTGTGCAAGTTGAAAGTCCCTGGATGGAGTTTCGTATATCCTACCGGCCAATTTGGGTGAAAATTGGATTTGAAGGACTGCCTACGTCCACCTCGGGGCCTCTTTCCTAAACACATGAAGCCCTAACCCTGTATTTCCACCTCACTCAGTCTTTGTGATTACCCTCAGAAGACAGAGGGCTTCCAGTGATCTCAGATCTGAAACAAATTCTATATCATTCTAATATTTTCTCATCAGCTGCTTAATCTTGATATCTCACGGACATACATGTACACATAAACGTACGATGTTAATAAATCAGAGCATAAGTCAGAACAAATGTAATTTTTTGGTATACATAGTGGTAAACTTATCTCTTCCTCTGTCTGTCCTACTCCCCGCCCCCCCCCCCCCCCCCAAAAGAGGACAGGCTTTGTAAAGAATGAGCAGTACCAAGGAAAGAATTGCTTGGGGGAATGAATTGGATTATTCCGTCTCTAGTTTTAATTAATAACCAACGTTCGCAGCCTACTGCATCCGAGTAGGGAGCAGCGCATTCAGTTTTTCCATTTGGTGGTGTTACTGTTAAGTCTTCAGTTAGGGCCTATCTTTCCGCTTTCGGTCGGCGCTTCGCTTCTTTTCTCCTTGTTATCTGTTTAAAGGAGGGCAGGCCATTTTTACCTAAAATCTATCCTGTTCTCGGTTGCCTGGACGGAGTGTCCTTCGAGCGGCGCCCAGCGCCAGGCTCTGGCTAAAGCTCTCTTCCTACAGATGCACAGGGAGTCCCTGACCCCGTGACGTTTGGGAGTGTGCAGAACCCAGGCAGAGGCATCCAGGTATTTCCAAAGATCCTGTGACGAGAGAGGTCTGCCCTTGCTCGAGCCAACTAGAGTGTAATCCCTTCCTAACAGCAGGTAATGGTGCTAACATTTAGTGATTGTAAGTTACTCTTTAGAGTGTTGTATCCTTGTTCTGCGGGTTTTGGTTACAGGTTATACGATTAGGTTTGCGAGAACAGTAGTGAACTAAACTTCTCAGTAAGAGGTCTTCACACCAGGGAAGTGTTACTTTTCTGCAGCAGCCCTGCCTCGTCACTCATTAGGGAGCTGCAGGTTGTCAAGCGGCTGCTCTCAGTGCGCGCACGCACCCTGAGTATCCCCGGGGGCGCGCACATGTGTATATGTGTGCGCGCGCACACACATACACACACATACACACACCCCGCACTAAAACTAAATTAAGAAGCCGATGATTAAGACAAGCGTCTACTAGGCCTGTCATTTCAGCATCCTTCCATCATAACATTGTGGCACTGGCAATTTTGCTTGAGAACCTCAAGAAAAAAAAATCTATGGGAGAGTCTCGCCTTTGAGAGTCGAAATGTTTAACTTGTATAAGGTAGGGAACCATTTCAGAAGCAAGGAAGTCCAAGGTAAAAAAAATAATAAAAAATAAAAGAAAGGAAAGAAAGAACAAGAAAGCCTGGATAGAGAGGATAGAAACCCCTGGGACACCTCAGGCAAGTTTCTGTGACGCTGCCAGACATTCCAAACTCTCTGAAGGAAAGTATGTACTCATCCAAAGGAGCCGTCCTGAGACCTACAT